TCACATTATTAGCGTTTAACACTGAATAAAGCACATCGTTGATCATTGTCAGTTTTCTGTTGTTCAGTTTTGGTAAAAACATGCACGTTTTCCATTGTAATCGAAATATATGTAAATGGCACACATAGAGCCTATGTTTCCTTTACAGATATTATTGAGAACATTACATATTCTATTATAAAACATAAAATCACTTACAAAAGCTAACAAGTATATCTAATAAGCCAATATCATATATAAATAAATAAATAAATAAATAAATAAATAAATAAATAAAGAGGCTATGTATTAAAAAATGAAATCTAATATTTATAATTTATTTGGAAATTAAAAAATCCTTCTTTAATAATAATATTAATAACATTAATGATTGCGATGCAGTGGCGCAGTGGGTAGTGCTGTTGCCTCACAGCAAGAAGGTCGCTGGTTAGAGCCTTAGCTGGCTTAGCATTTCTGTTATGAATTTGCATGTTCTTCCTGCGTTTACGTGTATTTCCTCCGAGTGCTCCGGTTTCTCCCACAGTCCAAAGACATATATAAAAGTATAGTTGAATTGGGTAGGCTAAATTGACCGTATTGTATGTGTGTTTGCGAATGAGTGTGTATGGGTTTCTCAGTGATGGGTTGCGGCTGGAAGGGCATCTGCTGCGTAAAACATGTGCTGGATAAGTTGGCGGTTCATTCCGCTTTGGCAACTCTGGATTAAAAAAGGGACTAAGCCGAAAAGAAAATGAATGAATGAATGAACATTGATGATGATGATGATAATTATTATTATTATTAATAATAATATTATTATTGTTGTTAATAAGAAAGAAATTGTTTATTTTGTATTTTTTGAAAAGTCTACTTTTACAATTTGGCAAATGCAAACCACTGCAAAATGTTTTAACCAACAGGCCCATGTAATATAAAGATACACTTCTTAACAAATAATCTACTGTAAATTAAAAGCAATAACGTATGCTGTTTTTTTTTTTTTTCCACAAGCTTTGGAGACATAACATAAATTCCTCTTTTAAGTAATAGGTCACCTAAAGCTTTCAACATGAGCCACATTTGTGTACAAAATGACATCAATGTTTTTAAAGTGCACTGCGAAGAGAGCACAATTTTAAACATTGTGAAGATCGCTAAAACTGAACAGTAAAAATACACTGAAAGCAAATTACACCCAAGAGTGATATATTCTAAATGGATAGGGCATAGGGGGGATAACTAGAAAAAGAACACAGCCAGGAACTATGTTTTTAACTACAGCTCCAGAGGTGTAGTTGCAAGCATGCAAGTTTGCAGCACAGTTTGCGAATGTTCGCTGGAAAGATGGATTTGGGAAATGAAAATCCGCAAATTATATATGTAACCACGAAGATTACAAACTTATTTGGCTAGCCATGGTTTTCGGAAGCTCACCCCAGATCATCCCCACCTTTAATGTGAACACAGCAAGTCCCATATAATGAACAGAAAGAAAGAAAGAAAGAAAGAAAGCAAGAAAGAACTAAGCAAAACAAAAACATTGTCGCTAATGTGAACCAGATGCCTATAAGCACTCATTTACAGGCATGCAGGGATTTCCACAGGCCCATAATAATCATAAATTTACACAAGAGAATTGTTGCGTCAATCAACGACACTAGTTCATGATTCTTTCATAGAAGGAAACCTGACAGTTCCCCTAATGAAAGAATCATGAACTGCTGTTTCTTCCCAAAAAAACATTCATGCAGAACTTCATGTTTAGTCGTGAGGAACAAAGCTGATGATAGGACATTGCTAATTATATTTCACAAGCGAGAAGAATGCGCATTTGGAGAAGTTCATCACAGCACAACTCCACCGTTTGTAATCTGTCCACAGTTTCTGCTAACATTAATAATATTCTGCCATCTTGCATGTGGCAAAACTTTCAAAAAGATGGTCTTTTTAGCCACCTGAAATGTCTTGTTGATTATTTTCACTACATGAGCTAGCATGTATTTACTGTAAGCAATGGTTTAAAGTTAAAAAAAAGAGCAGATGGGTAAAAAATGATGGCAAGAAAGGACCAAATATGTCCACTTGTGTATAGCCCATGCTGGGTATTTGGTGTGTTAGCTCAAAACTGAATTATGTTTGACATATGGCAGCACAGCATCTGTGCCAGTGACATGCCATGATCTGGACTGCCAGAAGCTCAGCATATTCTCTGGGGCGGGAAGAATCTGCATGCCTGGGTCATTTCAGCTTGTCTGTTCATGTGTTGTTTGCTCTGTCAACAGGAAGTAGTAGAGCTGCTTAATTTGTTGCAGTAAAACCCGGAAATGATATTATAAGCAATGGGGCCCCCTGAAGAGTTGCGAGTAGATTTTTGTAGAATGGTGGTTTTTGTTTTAAATAAAAAATACTGTCTGTAGTTACAGTTACTGTAGCACATTTTGATCCAAAAAAGGATCATAAAAAACTTGCTTCTTGTAAGTTTTGGTCACACTTTACAATATGGTCATATTAGTTAGCATGAGGCTAAAAATCAACACTATTACACACACAAAAAACTTTTGATGTTTGTTCAAACTACTTATTTTAAATGAGCTGAAACAAAACAATTTTTGTTTTTTTGTATTTTTTAACTTAATTGTTTTATGTTAATCTTAAATTTGTAAAACCGATTAAGTTACCTTTATTGATTTGTGTTGGTAAAACATGAAGGAATTGTGTGGAACCCAGATTTTTTACAGTGTACTCAACCAGGGGTGCCTGCAAGATTTTATTCCTATGTACGTACAAAACCAGCACTGCCCAGCCCCCTTCCCCTAATCATGTCAAGAAACACTGATGCTTACTGTCAAAGTCTACATTATTTAAGGGCATTCGTTACAACATAATTTGTTTTTCTTTTTTTATTTTAATATTTCGTTGATATCTGAATGTAATAAAAGCACATCAGCACCAAGGAAAAATCAGATACTCAAGACGTAATCTTTAAAATTATGACATATTAAAAAAATTGCAAATATATGACAGAAGATTGTGTTACAATTCAATTAGTGAAGCATTAATTAAATCCTTACTTTCCACTGACCGAAAATCATCCACCCGCACAGTTGAGAAGTGGTAGGGTTTAAACAAAACTATAATTAGTATATTTTTCTTGGGAAAAAAAATATGTTTTTAAAATAAATATTGTATGTAGTTTGTCTTAAATATTTTTCTTGGTCAGTTATCTTCTGGATAAAATCCCTAAATAAAAAAGCCTTGAATGGTAGCCGTTCCATGCGAACAGGCTGCCAGCAGCTGCATCTGATGAAAGAAACAGTTTCACCGGCTCTGGTGCTGATGAGACTGCGATCTCCACTCCATGTGGGGGACAGTGTTTGTCTCATTAGTTTTAGGCCTTTTGGCAAATGTCTCGATTATTAAAAATTAAAAAAAAAAAAAAAAAAAACCCTAACAAAACTAAAGCCAATAGATTTCTTTACCCATCTCCCAACATGCAAGTACATACACACTTTAAAACATAGAAACGCACACCTTTTTGTCATTCTTCCTTGCTTTGTCAATATATCGTAGTCTATAATGTTCAATAATCAATTAAAATTATGTAATAAATAAATAAAAAAGCGGCATTAATTCCCGTTCTCTCAGTATGTCTGATAATATATTATCTTTCGGAGAAAGTCTTATTTGTTTTATTTAGGCTAGAATAAAAGCAGTTTTAATTTTTTTAACACCATTATATTGTCAATATTATAAGCCCCTTTAAGCTATTTTTTTTTCTCTTAAAAATAAAAAAAATAAATCCCCTACATTTAATTTAGCACTAAATTCCATAATTCTAATTACAATTCTATAATTAGCACCTACTGTGTGTACTGCCACATGTTGTTGAATGCCTTCCCAATTGTAACCCTAGTAGCAAGGAATTCTGGCCCAGATGTAGCATAAAGCTGGCACAGCAGGCATTCATCCGTCACTGGCATACAGCATGTGGGCCAATTCTGGCCCGGGTATAGCAGAGGTGGCACCGTCTTTAAGGCGGCACACAAGATTTGGGCCAGAAGTAAAGCGTAGTATTTGACCCAGATTTAAAAAAATGTATATGTGGGCCACAGTTTGGCCAGTCTTGACCCACATTTAAAATACATTCAAATAATTTTTAAGTAAAGAAAAAAATTCTATTAATCAGGTCACTTTGAGAAAAAGCACACCCATAGTGTACCTAAAGCACAATGCTTCATGTGTTTATCAATTTCATTGCAATCGTGACACACCAACCTATCTGGCCCAGTTCAAGTCCAGTTATGAGTCATTAACTTGGCTGAAACTTGACCCAGATATGGTCCGTGTTTGGCCCTTGTCTGGAAGCCAGATTTGGTCCAGTCATGCACCGTAATTCACTGTGGCATGTGGGCCAAACAAAACCTGATTGTGTAGGCCAGAGCTGGGCCAGAGAAATGTTGCTTTGTGGGAAAGTCACTTTAGACAAAAGCATCTGCTAAATAACTAAATGTAAATGTAAACAACTTTAGGATCTCAAGCTGAGAAATCATTTAAATATGGAAATTAATTAATTTGTCAAAATCGCTGTCACTTTAGCACTCATTCTGATGAAATAAGAGGATAAAAACCACTGGAGAAGTTCACTGAGAAAATTCACAGCAACTCCTCCAACACTTATTGAGCATAATTATAAATGTCACTATTTGTAAGCACAGAGAGAACTCAAATTATTCAATAAATACAAGCTAACGAGGACACCGTGACAAGCCAGTTCGCAATCATGACAGAATGAACAGATTTGTTTATCTGAAACCCAATTGTTTGGAATAAAACAGTCAGCCTCAAAAAGGGCTGACAGTATGAAATTACAGAAAACAGAGAAGTTCTTCAAAAACGGGAAGTCACACCACAGCCAAACGCCTAGAGAAAAACAAAGATAAAGAAAAAAAAGGGGACTTTGCTTACATATTTCCCCACCCTTTTACCAAAAGACACATCCAAATGTAATATTTATCTTAGCATCCAGATTGGGAGCAATTGTGTATGACTGGTGACTGTCCAGATGCATGAATGACTTGCAGGCAAGGGAGATGAAGAGGGGTGGTGACACTCAACCCAAAGTAGATGCTATTTCCTTTTCAGGCTCCTCTGACCCCTAGCTTGGGAGGGGAAAAAAAGTTTTCTCCCCCTTCCTTCTCACTCTCCCACTTTCTTTCCCTCTCTCTTACACAATCTCATTTTAGAGGGTGTCTGCAAACTACATGCAGACTTTCTGCATCAAGTGTCAAGCGAGTAAGAAGAAAGTTCGTTCCCTCTGGGCTCTCCGTTGGACTTGGAGGATTCACGGCGCTCAGATGGAGTGAAAAATCGCATGGAAGGACTTTGGAAAGTCTATGGATATGGCACACACAGTCAAAACTCCACTCAGGAGGTCTTTTAGCGAGCATGTGAAGGATTCCACTAACAAGGCTTGGGATACATTCTGGAAGAGCGCACGTGAGAAGCGACTCTCAGGTAGGAAGAGTGTGGCTTTACTCTACTGCTGCTGTTGTTGTTGTTGACAGATCACTCTGGTGGTCCATTGACATTCTTGCTGACTTTCTTAATGAACTTTGTACAACTGAGGTAATTTGACATGCTAAATTTTGTTTAAACATACCAAGAATGTACATTTGGGAACTTTTTAAAAGGTTTTATATAAACAGTTGGATTCACTTTATTTTGATGGTCCCTTAAACACATTTTGTTGATTTTACAGTCTGTAGGCCCACACAGAACTTGCACCCACAGAAAGACGCATATTTCCACAGATTTTTGAGTCCATCAGTGAGTCTGTTTATATACAGTACTTGTAAATATATACATTATTTCATGTATATTGAAATAATATATTATTTCATTTATTTCATTTTTATACATTTTGATGATATTATTGATTAGTGTGCAAATGTGTACATGATGTTTGTATAAGTTTGCATATATTTAGTGGATATATTACTATGAATGATTTTTGAACTGCGAGAGTGTGTCTGAGCCTCGGACATTATCAGGAAGGCTATTCCAGAGTTTAGGAACCAAAAATGAGACGGTTCAATCTCCTTTACTCGACTCAACTTTTTTTTACCAGAAGCCCTGAGTTTTGAAATCTTAAAGAGCAAGTTGGATTGTAGTTTGGATTGTGGATTGTGGATTGTAGTGTGTGACAGGATATTGGTTAGATAAACAGGAGCTCGATTATTTAAAGCTTTATAGGTAAGATGCAATATTTGTAAACCAATACGAAACTTAACAGGCAGCCAGTGTAAGGAGGATAAAATTGGGGTGATATGATCATATTTTCTAGACCTGGTAAGAACTCTGGCAGCTGCATTTTATACTAGCTGAAGTTTGTTAATAGAGGATACTGGGAAACCAACAAACAGAGCATTACAGTAATCCACCCTAGAAGTCATAAAAACATGGACTAGCTTTTCTGCATCTGAGATGGATAGAGTACTTCTTAACATTTCTCAGATGAAAGTAGGCAGTTTTTGTGTCAAAGGATATATGATTTTTTTAAAAGTTAAATTACTATTCAACATAACACAAATATTTTATAGTACAGCTAACGCTAACGCTAACTTTGTATCCCTCTAATTGCAGGTCGAGTTGTGAGATCTGCTGTGTACAGGATTTAGGTCCAATAAGTAATAATTCTGTTTTGAGTTTAAGAGAAGAACATTGTTGGTCATCCAGTCTTTAACATCTTTAATACACTCAGTTAGCTTAGACATTTCAGACGTTTCATCAGGTTTAGTTGAAATATATAATTGAGTATCATCTGCACAGCAATGAAAGCTAATCCCACGTCTTCTAATAATGTCTCCCAGGGGTAGCATGTATATTGTAAACTGCATAAAACTTGTTAAGGCTGTCCATTAATATTCACAAACTGGTAACGGTCAGCTAAGTATGCCTTAAACCATTGTAGAGCCTGTCCCTGGACACCTGTAGAATTTAAGCGGTCTATGATGATATTGTGGTCAACGGTGTCAAATCCACTGAGATCCAGTAAAACTAATAACGAGATGCACCCTTGGTCAGCAGCTAAGGCTAAATCAGTGGTTATTTTCACTAATGCGGTTTCTGTACTGTGATGAGGCCTGAAACCTGACTGAAACACTTCTAAAACATTGTTCACCTGCAAAAAGGTGCATAAATGGGCAAAAACAACTTTTTCTATTAGTTTAGACATAATTTGAATATCTGAAATAGGCAATTATTAGCTAGGTTGCTGGGGTCTAGTTGTGGTTTCTTAATAATAGGCTTAATAACAGCTAGCTTGAAAAGATTTGGAACATGGCCTAAAGAAAGAGAGGAGTTGATGAGGTTAAGAAGAGGTTTTGTCTTTTACAGGTAGCAAATCTTTCAGTAATTTGAAAAGTAAAAAAAAAAATAAAGTTGGCAGATTTCTGGCCTTGAATTTAGCAAACAATTTTGTGTTTCATAGACATCCAATAGACATCTAAATGTAGACAGCTTGGCTAAAACAAGGTTGAGAATAGCCCAAAACTAGACTTTAGGGCTTTGAGTCTAAGAAAAGCGCATTACATATAAAATTCATTATTATTATTATTATTATTATTATTATTATTATTATTATTATTATTATTATTATTATTTATAATAATAATAATAATATTATTATTAGACTAGTCGTCAAATAGACAGATTAGACAGACTTTATATCTGTAGTCATTTATTTCTGTTTATTTAATGACTAATCTAGTTTTGGCCTATTCTTAGACGTCTATTAAATTTTCAGTGACAGCCCAAATTTAGCCTTGTTTTAGCCTAGACGATTAACTAGATGTTTAGACATCTATTAGACGTCTTTTAGACTACAGTTAGATTAATAATAGACTAATAATTCTCATTAGAGTGTTAGTTGACTGTTGGGTTAGGGTCAGTGTAAGTTAATGTACTTACAAAGTTTCTTATAGTCATGACAAGGTCTGTTAATGAAGCAATATCAGCAGATACTCTAATGTGAATTAGTTGGCATGTACTTGGAATGCAAATTAAAGTGATAGTTCACCCAAAATAAAAATTCTGTTATCTTTTAATCACCATCCACTTATCCCAAACCCATTAGATCTGTTCTTCTTTCTACCACAAAAGAGAATATTATAAAAAAATTATTTCCATAGTACTATTTTTACAGTACTAAGTTGATGGGTCAAACAGCATTTTTTAAAATCTTCTTTTGTGGTAAACAGAAGAATGAAACTCCTAAAACCTCACAAGTGAGAGTAAATGACTAATTTTTAGGTGAACTATCCCTTAAAGTGAAGTACTATTTGTGTACATCATGTGTGGCAACTACTCGAAATCTTCAGCGATGATTGGCCTTTAAACAGCTTAAGCCAGTTTCTTTTAACTCTGAGTGAGATGTGGTTAAAAAAAAAAACTCTTGACATGTTAACAAGAGCCAGCTAATTGCTCGGATATCCACATCACGAGCACCCTAGGCACGGCAGGAAATGGCCTTTGGTTGGAAAGAGGGCTAAATCTTCCTTGATCGTTTTTCTATCTCTTTCTTGAAGGGGGCTTGAGGGTGGGGATTTCTGTCTGTCATATGTTACAAGCCTGTCTTAATATTTACACCCTGACCAAGCTTGTCATACCTCGGTCCAAATACGGCTGTAGCGCAAAAGATCACGAGGTGCATCCAAAGATCCATGTCAGCCAGATGTGATCCATAAATGAGCAACTTTAGAGCAAAAAAAAGCTTTCTGAGAGCCAATTAAAACAGATTGTTGCCAAACCCTAATTAAATGCGGCACTGCGCCAAGGACTTTTTAAAAATTTTTTCTGTGGCACTTCACACGACACCACGGCCAAGTAAAATACAATGCAAAACTAGTGTCTGGCATCTGGAGTAAACATCTGGCTAGGAAAGATTGGAGTTTTTTGTATCGACATGGGCTGATGTGTGAGGTACTGCGGTATCTGGTTCATGTCAAAGTCAGAACACATGGAGGGCCTTTGCAACGAAAACATTGATAATTGCGTTTCCTTCTTTTCTATTGTAATGCTACAATCATTTTTACCTGAGGTTTATACTGAACAGATTGTCCCTCACCATTCAGTCAGCTCTTATTTCACTCTTGCCAAGAGGCATTACCTCATTGCAGGAACCAGAGCCACGTGTTTCTGGTGTGCCTGTCAGAGCAGTGTTTGCATGTGTGAACGATAGGGAAACTGTGTATAAAGAGTTCTGAGAGCCATTATGATGCAGAGCAGGCCTGTTAGCTCCAGAGATTACTGTGAGAATGCCTCACCAGATGTTGCAATCTCTTAAAAAAAAGAAAGAAAGAAAACTAGGAAGGGGTGGTTGAAAAGAAACATACACAGCTGGAAAAAAAGGGAAGGAAATGGGGTCAAATTGCATATTTTTCTAAGCTACAATAACAGCATAGAGAATCTCTGAAAAAAAACGAAGGTTCTTCTTTTTACTGCGGCCATTAATATTTTACGATTTTGGTTTGCAGATCTTTTGGGGGAATTCTTTGAATTTGCAATGTCACATCTGGGAAATCATTCGGCTTCTGAATTCCTGATTTGAAAATGCTGTCATGATGGTTCAATCTGAACTGTATTTAAAACAACTTATTTTTATAGATCCTCCTAAAAAATCATTTTGAATATTTGAACAGATGTGTTTATATTATTGAATCCTAACCAGATGTGATGTGGTAAAGCCAACAACTGGTTATAAATTGAATGCAGCATCACAGCAAATGTTTTGGGGTTCATTATAATTATCACATTATTCATTTATCAACCAGAACTATGGAGTATTTGTAGTAAAACTATATTTTGTAGGTCACTGATATGAGGTTTAATGTGATTGCACATTATGGAGGCCTATTTCAATATTTTTTTACTTAGCTATGAGATTATGTGTGAGATATTTAAGTCATAATATTTTTTAAAAGTTGTATGAGTTGTAAATTATGATGTCACAGTTAAAAGAAATCAGCTACATATTGTGAGAACCATTATGACATTCATTCATTCATTTTCAACCGATATTCCGTGGGCGGGTCACAGGGGCAGCAGTCTTAGGAGAGAACCCCAGACTTCCCTTTCCCCAGACACTTCCTCCAGCTCCTCCGGTGGGATCCTAAGACGTTCCCAGGCCAGGCAAGGGACATAGTCCCTCCAGCATGACCTGGGACTTCCCCGAGGTCTCCTCCTGGTGGAACATGGCTGGAACACCTCCCTAGAAAGGTGTCCAGGAGGCATTTGAAACAGATGCCTGAGCCATCTCAGCTGACTTCTCTCGATGTGGAGGAACAGCGGCTCTACTCAGAGCTCCTTCCGGGTGACAGAGCTCCTCATCCTATTTATAAGGGTGCGCCCTGCCACTCTGTAAAGGAAACTCATTTTGGCTGCTTGTATCCGAGATCTTGTCCTTTCGGTCATGACCCAAAGCTCATGACCATAGGTGAGAGTAGAAACATAGATTA